TAGGGATATTTTGCCTACTTGGAGGATCATGGGACTTAGTAAGTAAGGTTATAAGTCCCCTAATTGGGGTTATAAGTATAGTTACCTTACTTATAACCCTACTTACTAAGTCCCATGATCCTCCTAAACCCTAAACCCTAAACCCTAAACCCTAAACCCTAAACCCTAAACCCTAAACCCTACTTACTAAGTCCCATGATCCTTTAAGTACGGGTAGTGCAGGATGTATGTTATCAGCCGTGGGTCCCGGGATCCTCTACGTAAGAGCGTTGTTTTCAGGCCTTACCACTCGGTTTGGAGTGTCCGACGCCCTCAGCGGTGAAGACCGCGAGGGGCTTTCTGCGGGGAGAGTGAAGAGTTGAAGCTTAAGCCGTAATATACCAGAATAGGCCCCTAAGCCCTAAACCCCAAACCCAACAAAACAGACCCTAAGCCCTAAACCCTAAGTCGTGTGCTCTGATATTATGAGTTCCTTATATAGTTCCTGGAAAGGTTTCAAAGGTAGGACCTTTGTTGCAGCAGTTTAGGGTTGACATGTTTTTCAGAGATCTACAAGTTTTAAGCCCGTATCGATAACCTGTCTTCAACAGCCTGTGCCATGAATACCGAACCCCAAAACACCTTTCTGCCCAGACCCCCAAGAGATCGCTACCACCTTAAACCCTGACCCGTAACCTTAAACCCTTAATTAAACCCTAAACCCTAAACCCCAGCATAAACCCACAACATTGCCAGCTTGGGAAGGCCTTAAGCCCTAAACCCTAAACCCTATCCCAAGACATCGCACCCCATGGGAAGGCCCAGGCAAACGGCCAGGTCTTTACGGCGCCGTGTCCGCAGAGCCCCGACCTCCGAACTTTCGGATCCGAAACCAACAGCCTTAATGTAGGGGCCTTAACAATTAGAACAGGGTTTTGGGCTCCTAATATAATATTACTATAATATGGCACCCTAACAGTAATATTTATAACTATTTAGGCTTCTATATTAAGCCAATATAGTATACTACCATGTCCTTGTATTTCGCAGTACATTATTCGTATATTATAGTACACTATAGTATATCTTGCAGACACAGCGCTGCTTAAGAATCAGTTCCTTTCGGTAACGGTGCCCACGATTTCTTGATGTTGAAGCGTGCGGACTTTTGCTTGGAAGCAAAGCCTTTACAACTTTGAGAGCACGCTGAGGGTTTAGGGATTTAGGGTTTAGGGTTTAGGGTGAGATTTCTGACGCATCAGCAAATCCGGAACCCGACGAAATAAGAAATTGAGCCCTTCATGTTCTTGAGTTAAGAAACCGAGCTCCTCGACTTCTTACTTTGGCGGGTTTTGGTTTCTCATGACAAACGCTATCTAAGCTCATAACAAATCCTTATAAAACCCTGATGGAGCCTTGAGAGCCGTTATAAAGCAGCGATTGAGCCCTGATGAAGCCCAGACCCTAAGCCCGAAGCCTTAAAAACTCTCAGCCTCACGGTAAAGGCTCCAGGGTTTAGGGTTTAGGGCTCAATCTTTCTGGGTCTTTGTCCAGCTGTCGCGCTTGGCATAACAGAAGGGTTGGAGGGTTTAGGGTTTAGGGTTGCTCCTCCGTTTCGGAAGTCGGTTTTTTGGAGCGAACAGGAAAAGCGACGAAGATAAGAAATTGCCACACCGAGGTCAGGGTACCTCAGTTTCTGAAGCTCATGACTTCGTAAGCACTGTCGATGTAACATATTCTAGTGGGTTACAGTATGTTGTAGTATGTTGCAGTGTGCTACGGCATGTATAGTACATTTTGGTATACTAAAATGGTATCTTATGGCCAAATTCGAGTGCAACCCTCAGCCCTGAACCTCTAGAGCCCCCCAGACCCCTTGAGCCTTACGCCTCGTTCAGGGCTCAGGAAGTTGCTAAGCTTGAGGAGTTCAGGGATCAGGGTTTTTCATACTTCCCTTGGGGGATTACTGTAGGGGCCTTAATGATTGCCTATATTATTTTGGGGGTTCCTTATTATCGTTACAGTATAATATCCCCCGAAACCCTATTCTAATCATTAAGGCCCCTACATTGGGGTTTAGGGTGCAGGTTTTCAATTTTGGGCAGCTTTTTCGGATTCGGCTCTCGTGGCGGGGTTTGGGTGCTGTGGTAGCTTTTCCTTGGAAGGGGAGGGCTTGCAGGAAGCTCAACGTAAGCATGGAAGCCACGGTTTAGGGTCTAGGGTTTAGGGCAATCAGCACTCTAAGGCCTAACGCCTAAGTCCTAAAGCTCCGCACCCAAGCATAGAACTGATAGCCGAAGCGGCAGTGATAACAGGAGCCTCAGCAACGAGCCACGCAGCGCCAGACATGTGCAGAGATCTCGGTTCGCTGACCCAAAAGTTATAATCAAGTTTTACTCCCCAAAACCCTCATGAAACCGGGAAGTTCGCGAAAGAAGGCATTTACCATATAAGGGCCTTATTAATGGAACCATCATAAACACATTGAGCTTCCATTGCCATGAAGCCCGTGCAAGACAGAGCCGCTCAGGTGCTGGTTCCCGATGGCACAAAACCTGGTCAGACCATTCGGGTGCCGATGCAGGCGATACGGTTTCGGTTGGGGCGTCGGGCGTTCGGGGTATTTTTCGTTGGACTGTCATGCTTGTTGTTGGTTCTATACTTTTCGTGGCTGCTGCTGTTGGCTTTGGTCGCTATCATCAGTGGGTATTCCTGAGTATGTTGCGTTGCCCTGCAATGTGCAGTAGGGTGGAAGAACATGTTCGCACAGAGGAGTAGCCGGAATAGCAATAATGATATTGATCGAGATAGTGTTGCAGCAACAACGCCCATGATAGCAGCCAGATCAACAATCTTTAAACTTGTGGTCGTCGTGGTCGCCGCAACAGCAGTAGGAGGAGCAGGAGCAGAAGCTTTTGCGTTGCTTAGGCGGTTCTGTGATGAAAAGGGTTCTTCGCATGTAGCATACCGGTTGCAGGGTTTGCACCGCCAAAAGGCGGGATATTCCACTACACCTTAAGCCTAAACCCTAACAT